ATCAACGCCATTTCCTCTTTCTGAACAATCAATAGTTGCTCCAAACAGGACTTGGAGTGGAAAGTTCTCTCTCCCTGTAACATTCACTTAGGGAGCACAAAGTGATTCCAATTTGAAAAACAAAATTGAAGATTCAAATCTGGCTAATAATGAGACTAGGGAGTTTTCAGAGAGCTCTAGGGCTCTCGCTTCCTCAAAACAAGAATTAATGCATTCTTTCACATGTGGCCAGCACAGGAAGGGGGAGCCATTTACTGTAAATGCCTCTCTGATGCAATCCAACCACCTCTTTCAAAGACAGAATTCATCCAAGAAGCCTTAGTTGCTTCTAGAAAAATGCCATCGCTCTGAATGTACACACACCAAACCACACGCCTAGAGACAAGAGGTGAGCAGGCTCGGCCCACAGAAAACATACCAACAAATGGGGAAGAGAGATCTTGGCTTCCTGCAATCCAGCAGGGTTATTTCTGAGGTTGGCCTTTGAGACAGGAATGCCTGACATGTTACCATCATTGTTTCATAAATCAAGAGCAGGGAGATTTCTTCTCTGCCTACTTGTGAAAGCACTTCCTGAAAATGTGGGCCTCTGGTTTAGAACCAGGAACCCTAGGCATAATTAGTAACTTAGCAACTGTGACTATTAAAGAAATTTCAGCTACAGAACAAAAAGAAGAATACTGTAATTTAAAATCTGAAACTGAAAGGACAGCTCGAAGAGGCTGGGTTCCACACAAAGAGAGCGGGACTGAGAAGTGCTCAACAGCATTTGTGTAGAAAAACCCAAGGAAAGCAGCGTGGACTTCTTCCTAAAAGACTCGGTTCCCTAAAACCCCAAATCTACCCAGAGGAAACTAGGAGAGGATTCCTCCGTTTCTGCTTACCCGGGACACCTTGAATTCTTCTGGTGGCAAGAAGTGTGCAGTTCCTTTTCTGGAGAAGCCAGAGCCGACTCGAGGCTGTGTTCTGCTGAAGATGGGGATTCCCTTGATGAATGAAACCACACAGGGTAATATATGTGGTCTGAGCAAGCCATTGGCTACAGGAGGCCGAGGCGTGTTTAAGTCTGATTTGCCAACTTTCGGGTAAGTCTCTCACAGCCCATCTCAGAAGACGTAGGCTGCACTGCACCCCAGGAGAGTCAAAACTAGACAGGGTTCGTTGTTCCCGCGGCACTCTCCCTAGCCCAGAGGAAACCACAGCCAACCACAGGAGATCTGGCTCCTCCACCAGGCGAAAAAGAATTATGATGTCGACACCAGCAATTTACCAAAGAATCCCACACCAATGCCAGGCTTGCTCTCTTTATATGACTGCCTGGGAGTCAGATGCAGGTACAGGCAAGGTATGCATACTCTTAGGCCACTATTTGTAGGCTCTGTAGAGGTGGCAAATTCTGCCAAAAAGTGGTAAAATTATAAAAAGAAATGTTAACTTTTGGTTTCCTTGGTGACCAATAAGACATGAAAAACTAACACTAACAGAAGAGTTGTGTAACTGAACCTTTTAAACAAACGTTTCAACGTGTTTTTGAACCACCTGTGTGCAGACTGCCTCTGTGGGGCCCAGGAGTGTGCCCTTCCATCAAGCATTGTGGGTGATTCTCCTACACTCTGAGCTGTGAAGATCATCTTTCCTATCTACAGAACTAAACAGCTGACTGCACACACTTCCGAACCCCTTGATTCCTCAGTCACTTCACATCAGGACACCTCCAGGAAGAGTGACTGCGTTACCTGTGCCCACCCCACCCCCATGCTGGAGGGGTAAAATGTTTGATGCATTGTGTGCGTGCCTGCGTGAGTTCATGTGTCTCATAGTATGAGTGTCATGACCTCATAGGGACAGGTGTCTTCAGAGGTCAAGAGGACCACAACCCCTAGAGCAGTCAACACTCTCAGCCACTGAGCTGTGGCTCCAGCCCCACCTCTGCATTTCTTATCTTTGCTTCATCTCAATTCCAACAAGTCTGTGACCATCGAGATACCTTGGACTTTCCCAACATCTCTCCTCCATCTTCACCAGTTATTTTAGACCAATATGCTGGGGAAATCTCATCTTCACAACAGGGACTCAGACTGTTATGCAATGTTAAGTATGAAAACTTCTCCTCCATCACAGAAGGGTTTTATCTTATTCTATGTTTCCATCGGTACTTCTGAATGGGGAGCCCAACTGAGAAAACATGGACAGGTCTTCAAATGCCCCTTTGTGTTTCAGGATCACTATCTAACAGGGCATCCTAACACACAGGGAGGAAGCTAACACTTTACTTTGTACTCCCAGCTGATGTAGCTTTTCCTTTTCCTTTTATTTTCGGGGGTGGGGTGGGGCTGTCAGTATTTTTGCTTAATAGTTAAAATTGGCTGTATCAGAAAAAAGATTCTCATATTTTATGTTAGCACCAAAATTCTTTTCATTTCCAAAATAACATCTCAGGTGAAGGTGCACCACACATTACAAATGGCACCTGAGCACCCTAGGTTGACGCAGCAACCAGAAGACACAAGCCCTTCCAATTAATTCCTGTTTGAACATATCATACCTCAGGTAGTACAGCCAAACCCTTCGACACTACTTTATACTTTATCAATGCATTCTATGTATGCTTTTATGTCTCAGAGCGAGGTATGTCTACGCTTTTTTTAAATCCATGTCAGGTTAAACCTCAGACAAACATCCTACATTCTACAATGAGCTTCAGAGTTCAGTCACACCTCCAACAGGTGTGAACACTAACACTATCTCTACCTGCATCCCTAGTCAGCCTTACCCTTAGTAGGAGTTTACAGTCATATTAGAAACATGTTAAGGTATGTTTCTTGATGCGAACATCATCTTGATGCATGAGAACTCATTATATTTCAACTAATTTTTATTTCCTGGTATGTTAATCTATGAAGCCCTGCACTATGTAACAGCCTTTCTGCTAAGGACAGACCCACACGGTATTACTGCCCAGGGATACCAGACTGTCTTTGTGTGCAAAGCATGCCCCGTCACCTCCAGAACAGGAAATCACCTGACATCTTTTTCAGGACATACCCTGCTCTCAGCTGGTCCATGGCTGTAGTGTGAGGCGTCCATATCACAAGCCACAGGCTCATGCACACAATATCAGAGACTCAAGGGAAATGGGAACTTCATGTTAGGCAATCATTAACCAAAGGATCTTAATACCACGTCAGGCTAGAGAGCAAAGATCCAAACACCATCTCCGAGAGTCGGTTATTTCTAAGCTTCCGCCAACAAAGAAACATGAAAGTCCTGTCTGGTCTCCTGGGAGCTGTTTTCTGATTTTAAAGACATATCTCACCTGAAGAAAAAGCTGCTGTATGTCAAGTGTATTGCAAAACATGCTTAAAGTGAGAGGAGATGGATGTCTAAGTCTACCCAGGGCCACCAGCTTGGACTTGGGAAGACACAGGGCTCCATAATCAACTGTTGTTTCAAATACACACTCTTTAAATAAATGCATTCTATGTATGCCTTTATGTCTCAGAGTGAGGTATGTCTACGCTATTTAAATAAATAAAATCAGTAGGAAACCTTATATTCCTGTATCCGAAATACACATGGGTATTGAATGATCCGGCATTTTCAAATCCATACTTAAATCGTTATTTTTAGCAACTGTCTATTTCCCTATGATTCTGATGTTTTGTTTTGTCCTTAAAGTGAGGAGGAACCACTCTAGCACAGTTAAGAGCATTTAAACACCTGCCCTTAATCACAGGGTACGTTCTGAGACCCTCAGTGGCTACCTGGAACCTCAGCTAGCACAGAACCCCACTACACACTGGACTTCTCCTCTGAGTATGTGCCCAAGGTAAACTTTAAACATAAATGAGGTGTAGTAAGGGACTGATAACTAATGATTTTTTTTAAAAAAAAAAAAGAATATTATTACCTGTTGGCTTAGGACTGGAATTATCTTCCCTTAGGAGCAGGGCTTCTAATGACTGCCAAGGGACTCAGGCTAGTCCTCAGAGCTGGCTTCACTCAGATGTGTGCATATGCTGTGTGGACAGTTATGGAGAGCAGCTGTGCATCTGTGGAGCAATGCTGGCCATCGCTGGGGAATCGTGCTAAGGATGAACTTCATTTGCTTACATGCAAACGTAAGGAGGTTTAAGCTGGGAAACTTCCTGAGTTAACCACACAGTACGTTTTTGTGACTGCTGACTGTTCTTAGGAGAAGAGAGAATTGATATGCAGATGCGTGCCTACTTCCTACACATGGACTTGACAAGACTATGGCTGGAAAAGTTATCAGAAAGAGAGGGAACAATGACCAAATGCCTCCCAGTCCAGCAGAAAGGTGTTGTGTTGGATACACACCCTGTACCAGGAGAACCAGACGGCTGCAAGACTGACCAAAGGCAGGTTAGGTCTGCTGAGTGGCCACGTGTGTGACCAGGATGTGTGCAAAGCAATCTGGGAACGCTTCTGTGTGGTAAGCTTGGTAAGAAGCTGGTGTCAATACTGCAGAGAAGTAGCTATCTGGTCTGGCTGGTGACTCAGATGACGAGAACAAGGGCAGGGTTCAGAATGGTGTCATACAGTGTGGTCAGCCTTGTGGTGTCCGAGCATGAACGGCAGTGAAATTCCCACAGGCATGGGGCTGGCTCAACAGGCACAGGCCAGAGCCTCAGGCAGCCCAGGAAAGCAACTTGTCTTCAGGTCTTGTGCTCCAAAAAAGACTCTTTAGAAGAGGGAGTTAGGGATTTTAATCTGAAAAACCTGTAGTATTAGCATTGCTAATTTTAAATTACTTATGAAAATAATCAATGGACCTAATCTTGCCATTCTTATCCATTTCAACACTACACATTTGCCAAAAGCAAATTGAACTAGAGTAATATTAATAAGGTCTTTTAAAAATTGAGCACATGAACTTTGGCATAACAAAATCACCTGGTGACATTTAAAGTATGCGATTAGTTGACCAACATATAATGAACTCCTTGACTTTTCTGTGTATTTTCATTTGTTTGTAATTTGTTGTTTTTTTTTTTTTCCTTTCCTCTCTTCTTTCTGGGTGGTGGTCTATTTTGTTTCATGGGTTTTTTGGGGGGTGGGGTTTGTATCAGATTTTTGTTTGTTTTTTGAGGAAGAATTTAAAGTTAGGTGAGTAGGGAGGAGATCTTGGCGGGAAGGAAGAATATGAACAAAACAATTAAATTTAAAAATTGTTTTATATAATAAAAGTAAAATAAAAATAAAAGTGTGTGAGTGCTGAGCGGCAGATTTCCAGTTCTGCCCGCAGGGGAGTTTAGGGAGTGAGACAGCTGCTGTCCACCACAGGCCTGCTCCTCCGGGTCCCTGTGACACTGTGCCGCAACCCACCACGCACAATCCATTGGTGCTGGAAGAATTCAAGAGTTCATCACAATTACATAACTGCATGCATGTGGCGTGTACTTTCCCAAGCGGTGTTGGCATATACCTTTAATTCTAGCACTCGGGAGGCAGGCACAGGGGGATCTCTGTGAGTTCGACATGGCCAGCCTGGTCTACAGAGTGGGTTCCAGGACAGCCAGGGCTAAACAGAAAAACACTGTCTCGAAAAACCAAAAAAATACCAAAAACAATCCTTTCTGAGAAAGAAACTGGTCCATTAGGAAATCATGCTTGAAATGAAGTGGGTGGATCACATGTAGATTTAATTTGAATTGGAACTATGCCATCCTTCTTATCATGGGAACTAATCCATAAACCAAGACGTGTTTGCACTATGCTAAACACTGGTCCTGAAGGTATCTTGTAAGTCATTATTCAGTCAGTCACCCTGTATCTATTCTCCCTGGGGGGGTTAAAAAAGAATGAAGCTTAAAAAAACAAAAGACCCCAACAATAAAAACCCACTTCTAATCCATTACATAGGGTTAATTGTCAATTGTTAAGCAGGATTAATTACAGTAATCGCAGCTATCAAACACTGCTCATCATGTGCCACAGCATGTTTTATACATTGTATACACCATTAACTCCCTTGATCCTCTCAGCAGACCCATAAATTAGACACTGAAAGTATTTGTTTTACAGATAAACATCACAAACATTAAGTCAGTTGCCTGCAATGTAGTATGAGACATGGAGTTTGGCATATCAAGCCATGATCTTTGTTGTAGGGCATCAGGAACACAACCATGAGGACACTGGGAGACAGGAAACATGAACTGCCCCCAAGTCTAGCCTCACTTCCTCATGTTTAGTGCCCCAGGGCACACTACCAAGCTCCCTAAAAGAGCAACACAAAATCCATCTTCCTCTGTGCTGCAGAAAAACAAAACAAAACAAAACAACAACAACAAAAACCCCAATGAAACAAGCAGACTTACATTTCTCCAATAAATTGATTCTTATTTAAATCACAACAGAAGCCTGGCAGTGCACACCTTTAATCCCAGCACTGGGGAGGCAGAGCAGGTGGACCTCTGTGAGTTCAAGGTTGGCCTGGTCTACAAAAGCTTAGTTCCAGGGCAGGCTCCAAACTACAGAGAAACCTTGTCTCGAAAACAAACTACAAAATAGAAAAAACCCACAAGAGAAGGGGTCGGTTGTAGTGTGGAGCCCCAGCAGTGCCTCACTAGGGGCCTCACCAGCTTCTAACAGGCTCTGAGAGAACTGGAGGTCTACCACAGTGTGATGCACATACAGCCAGAATTCAGGAAAACATTAAACATGAGGCACAGCCTTTGCCCATCGAACCTCCTGATTTCCTTTTGGGTTACTTAGCGTGCTTTTATAACAGAGTCTATACAGACAGTAAGAATCAACACTGTTGCTGGCAGCGTGAGTCCTAGGACTCAGACTCGAGTATGAGCCTTACTTTTTAAACACCACTCAAATTGCTATTTAAAGGTTGTAATTTGGATGTGAAATGTCACCCTACAGGCTCCTATGTTAAATGCTTAATGAATACTTGATAGAGCTGTTCTGACAAACTGTGGGACCTTTAAAAGGTGGGGCCTAGCTGGAGGAAGGGGGTTGCTGTGAAGGGTAGGTGGGGCACCTGCATGTACACTAGTTCTTGCAGATTTGAGGACTGTGTCCCTTTCAACTGTGAGACAACGTAATTCCTTTTTCCTTTAAGCTGCTTCTCCCAGTGAAAGAACCTAGCACAAATGCTGAGTAAACAGCTATGATACAGCCCTTCTTCCAATGTGTGAGCTGAAGTAGTCAGTGCAACTAACATACGAAGGCAATACTCACCTGACATGTAACTATAACTGCAGGTTTCTACCACGCACGTACCTTCTGGGGAAAAATGAGCAAAGTTACCAAAATTAATATATGTGGACAGTCTACACATTGTGACATGGAGGATTAATTTCAGAATAGCTTAGGGTTTTTGTTTTTTTGTTGTTGTTGTTGTTTTGTTTTTTTTTTGTTTTTCGAGACAGGGTTTCTCTGTGGCTTTGGAGCCTGTCCTGGAACTAGCTCTTGTAGACCAGGCTGGCCTCAAACTCACAGAGATCCGCTACCTCTGCCTCCCGAGTGCTGGGATTAAAGGCATATGCCGCCACCACCCAGCAACTTAGGGCATTTTTAAATGTAATGAAACACTTGAATAAAATCTGGGGCTTCACTGCAGTGACTGTGTTGTATGACGCTTCCTTTTTATTTTTCCATATAGTCTCTAGGTGACTTAAAAATTAAAAGTTATTCTCATTTTAGAACATACAGTTCAGACAGCACCATTAAAGTAAAATCTTCCTTGAATAGTACTGTTTACACATGACTTAATTCACAGAAGAGGCAGGAAAGATGACTTTACAGTCCATCATTAAAACGATGTTTGGGTATCTTAAGGCTGTTTCTCTTAATGAACAGACCGACCTGTTCATTTCTATAAAGTGCTCAGTGTGTCTGACACCAGTACATTTGACATGGTCTGGAACACACACTGTGGTTTCAAAAAATAAGAAGATGATTCAGTTGTGTACTAATATAGTCAATCTGCTTCTGAGAAAGATACCCTTGGGAGAGCAGTGATGTCTGCACGAAGCAGTCGGTACTTGTTGCAAGGGCAATAGCATGCAAGGACTTTTCCTTCCCGTCCCCTTACCCTGCCTGCTTCCTGAGCCGAGCAGGAGCATTCTTTTCAAGACAACCTGCAGTAGAGGGGAGAACCTCGAATGTGGAGAGGACGCTTTTTTTTTTTAAATGGACATGAGATTTTTTATAAGCACAGGACAATCAAATACAAAAAATGGTTTCTTCTGCAAACATAATTTATTAACACATTTAAAACTGCACCAGGGGCTGGGGACATAGCTCAGCTGTTAGAACACTTGCCAAGATTCAATCCCCAGTAAATCAAACTAGGCGTGGTACCACAAGCCTGTAATCCACTTATTGGGATGTGGGGGCAGGAGGATCAAAGGTTTACAGTCATCCTTGGCTACATAGTGAATTCAAGGCTAGCCTGAGGTCCCCATAAGACTCTGTCTCAACACAAAACAAAAACAAAAACCTCCATCGCAAAACCCCTGCATTTATGCCAGGAAAAACAACACGACTACCAACTTTGTAGCCGCAGGTTTTGCTTGTTTTAAGGATCTCGCTGAGGCCTCCCTAGAATACAGAAATGAGGGCAGTTGTTTTGGAGTTAAGGAAGAATACAGAGCTGGGAGGACAGGGAACATTTAAGGGAGGAGCTTTTGTTAAAGAAGGAAGTTGTTCCAGGTTTGAAAGTAGCTCACAAAGCCTTCATTGTTGGAGGATAAGGGTGGGCCTCTGTCCTTCCTGCCCTCAAGCTGGCAAAGTGGAAAAACCAGTGAACTGGGATATGAGTGGACACTCACAAAATAAATAATGTTTTAACACTGCAAAATAAATCCTGGTCACAATGTTTAGCAAAATGTATCCTCAAATTCTTAAGAACAATAAGGAATTGCAACAGTCCAAGGAGACTCAAGAAAGAAGAATAAGGAAGGAACAATATGACTTGACTTCTAAATACACCATGAAGCTACAGTTATTAAAGCAGTATGGTAATGTCAATAGAACAGACGAATCCAGTGGGAAAATAAACCTATGTGTAGAGCCAATTGATCTCGACAAGGACACCTAGAAATACAAATAAACAGGCTCCTCAATATACAGGATCAAGAAGATGGAAAATAATAAAACTGGATCTGTCTTAACACCCTACAAAATAATACGTTCCAAGAGTTGGTGAGGTGGCTCGATGGGAAAGGCACCTGCTGTCAAGCCTGATAATCTGAGCTCCATTTCCAGGACCAGAGAGCACCTACCCCTGTGAGCCATCTTCTGACCTCCACACATGAACTGTACTGCCCATGTGTACTTAAAAGTGCACACTCATACACATAAATACATACAAGTAATTTTTAAAATTAAAAATGTGCATGAATGGACTAAAAACTTAAATTTAAACCCTGAATGCAAGAAGTTATTTGGAGAAAATACAAGGGTAGCTAGATCTTTGTCATTGCATCTAGGCAGGAAATTTCTTGACTGTGACAGAAGCACAAGGAATAAAAGCGAAAGGAGACAAGTGGGATCAGAGCAAGTGAAGAAGCTCAGCAGGGCACAGGAGGCGGGGCTGGAGAGGGGTCCTCTGGGCCTGGGTAAGCCACCTATCCGACAGTCACACAACAGTCTCATCTCTAATGTTGGCATTTCTCCAACGATGACATACAAAGATTCTCAACATTGCTGGTTGGCAAGAAAATGCAAATGGAAACCACAGTGCAAGCTGTGTGAAGTAGAGCACCCCTTTGGTCCCAGCACTAGGAGGCAGAGCAAACCAGCCCCTGTCTCAAAACAAAACAAACCACAGTAGGCTACTGCTCCCCACCTTTCAGGATGGTTACTGTAACAAAACAAAACAAATACACAAAAAACAAAACAAAATCACAAAAGCGAAAAGATGAGAAACTGTAGCCCTTCCACAGTATCTGTTGGTGTAAAAAGCAGCTACAACTAAACATTGTGCATGTACGTACACACATACACACACAATGACCCAGTGCTTGTATGTCCACCTCTTATCTTCCTAATCCCTGACACAGCAACACCTCAAGTGCTGATATAGTGACACCTTACTGCATACAAGCACTTCATCTGGGGAAGGTACTCCTAATTATATTACTCTATTTGATGATTAAACGTGGAGTACAATTTTCAAGTATCCACTTTAGAACTTGTAACACCAAAATTATTAAAGCGCGACCAACTGCAGAGAGCTTGGGTCATTGTGTTATTCTATTATACCCCCTACTGTAAAAGGAGAAACTCCTTAAAACTGCAAACACTGCTTCAGTATTTGAAATTGAAAAATGAAATTTATGCCCTGGCAAAGCCGAAGCAAGCAGGGGCAGCCCATATCGTATATGGCAGTTCTTTTGAACTTGTCCATATATTGGGTTTCATGGTCTAACTTGATGAGGGTGACTGAACAGGTCTCTTCCTCTGCTTCAGTATTACTTGGACCCAATTAGTCTGAGATTCCAATGAGGTTCTGGTTGTCACATCATTCTCAGCAAGGGTAGGAAAGTATATTTTGGCCTATGCTCACCTGGGCTTCCTGATCTTGAGAACATTAAACTGAACGACAGTAGAGCCTAGCCTTATGTTTTTAACTGATGCTTAGTACGTGGGACTCCCAAATGTAACACCATTACTACCTTTAAAAATTACTGTTTTGTGCGTATGTGTGTGCACACACATGGGAAAGCTAGAGGCTGACATCAGATGCCTTTCTCAGTTACTTGGGTGCAGGGCTCTCATTTAAGCAGGAGTTCATGAACTGGACATACTGGCTGGCCCAAGAGCCTCAGGAATCCTCCTGTCTCTGTTCCTCAACACTCAGTGCTACAGTTACAGACATGTACTTAAAGCTAGCTTCACATGGGTGCCAAGATATGAACTGGGGTCCTCATGCCTGCATAGCAGGACCAGTGACTGAGGTATCTCCCTAGCCTAACATTATTTTCTTTGCCATGTAAATCCAGAAAAGGCAAAGCAGATCAAAACTCCCAACTACAGGAGACACAAATGCAACAACTTCCTGCTGCAGCTTTGGCAGCATCTCACCTGGGCCTGGCAGGAACACTGGCTATTGCTGAACACAATTAGTATGCACACTATCTGAAGAGAGACATTTAGGACTTCAGCCCCTGGTTCAAAACCAGCCTTCTGAACACACTGCTTCAAACACACTATTTCACCTCCTCTTGTTTAGCCCGCTTCTAGTCTCACATAAGCTTGGCTGCCTGACACAGGCTTTTCTCAATCTTCAGATCAATCCAGGTGCCTTGAAAAAAGGAACAGTTCCACAGGACAATAGCCAGAAAGATGGAAAACCTATTTTAAAATAAACGTTCTTCATATTTGAGGTTACAAAACCCAAACACATTACTTTATGTTCCCAGATGCCGCTAGATTTATTCTCTTAAGTCAACAGCTCCGTTTGCCCAGTTCTGTCACTCTCTGAAGACACTGCAATTCTGTCCTGTGACGCTGAGCTTACCTACTAAAAAAAAGATGGACGGAGACAGCATGAGGATGCTTGGCAGGTAGACCCACACTGAGCTCCGCATCTTGCTTGCTTGGAGTTGCTGGCTACAGGGACTAACACACACATTCTAGTGGTTTCCTACCAACTGCCCTTCACCTAGGAGTAGAAACCTAAACAAGGACAAGTTAGCAAACAGGTGAAAAATCTTATGTCTAAGCAACAAGAGAAATAATCCAGTCAAAGGTTCTTAACAGTTACCTATCAGTTTTCAAATATCTGCCAAAGGGAGATGGGCTACTACTGCTTTATTTAAATTAAAAGACCATTTTGTACATAATAGTCCTTAAAATCTGTTCTGGACATAGTATAGCCTTCGAAGCACACAATTATGCATTTTGTCATGTCTTTTGAAGCCAGCTTGCCTCCGCACTCAGTGACACCTTCCCCAGATAAGCATTGCACAGAACCACCATGATGCCCTAATTGGAGCTCTGAAGCCAAGTATCAGTACCCTGGATTTTTTTTTCTTTTCTTTTTTTAAAAAGCCTGGCTGCATGCCCCTGCTGTGAAGACCCCATTCTTTTTTTTCAATTATTTATTTATTATGTATACAATGTTCTGTCTGCATGTATGCCTGCCTGCCAGAAGAGGGCACCAGGTCTCATAGATGGTTGTGAGCCACCATGTGGTTGCTGGGAATTGAACTCAGGACCTCTGGAAGAGCAATCAGTGCTTTTAACCTCTGAGCCATCTCTCCAGCCCCCTGGATTTTTTTTTTAAAAATTGTTTTGACTTTTGATTTTTTCCTATGTATGAGTACTTTGCCCGCATGTATATATTTTAACTTTTGATTTTTTCCTATGTATGAGTACTTTGCCCGCATGTACATATGTGCATCATGTACACATCTCACGCCTAAGGTGAGAAGAGAGCATCAGATCTCCTGAACTGAAGTTAGGGGTGGTTGTGAGCAACCTTATGGGGGCTGGGAAGCAAATGTGTGTCCTCTTAAGCAACATGTGCTCTTAATCACTGAGCCAGCTCCCCTTGTCTCTGGCTTTACTTTTCCATTGCAAAGTTTGTAAACAGGACCAAATGCACCTTTCATGTAATAAACTAAGCCATCTAGAAAGGGAAGCTCTAACTTGTCTGGGAGAAGCAAGTTACCCCTTTCACAATCCTTTAAAAGACCCAAGTCTGAGAAATAATGAGTGCATGGTATTTTGCAGCCCCACTATCCATGCAGAAAGCTCAGGAATAGGATTTTATCATGAAATCCTGTCCTCCATTACATCTCTACTCCTTGAACCAAATTCTAAGATGTGAATACTTCTTAGATCATCAGATGTGAGCTACAAACAGCACGTATGTATGAGGAGCTTAGAGAGGAAAACTTCTGTACATTCCAGTATAAAACATATCCACATAAGAAAGGTTAAGGTCCCTATGACAAACTCCAGAAGAGAACACCACGCAATACTACATTTTGACCAGCAGGTGTCTCTCTGGAGTGTTTGACACCAACCCAGATGAGGGCCAATTAAGGAAGACCTCACTATTACTCTACAACCATGTGAACCCCAGACCTGACCACTCATGGGGGGCTGGGGAGTGAAGACAGGGGGATTTTGAGATCCGTTGTGTTTCTGAGAGACTCTACATTTCAATATAAAATGAGAATTAGTGCAGAAGTAGTTGTTTTCTTAAAATTTAATGGCAAGATCTTCGTGTGGAAACAAATGAGTTCAAATGTACCTGCACGTGCAGGCAGAGGCTAAAGGTCACTCTCAGGTGTCCTTGTATCACTTGTGGCCAGTTTGTTTGTTTGTTTGTGGAACAGAGTCTCTTAGTGCTCAACTGATTTGGTCAGATTAACTGGCCATTGAGTGCCAGGGACTCTCCTGTCTCTGCCCCACAGTGCTAGCGATTAAGTGATTACAGATACAAGCTGCCACACCTGGCTTTCTCCAGGGAGGAGGATCCAAATTCAGGTCCTCAGCTTTATAGGATAAGCACTTTCCTGACTGGCTTACCTCTTCTGTTCTGTTTAACGGTGAGATCTAGCAGCACGGAGGGATGGCAAATGACTGTTACTGTCAGGAACACAGTGTCAAAGCTCAAACAGAAAGACAGCGGAGTAGAGAATGGCAAGTAGGAAAAAGAGAGGTCAGTTACAGAAAGGTGAAAGTTCATGGCAAAGAAATAAGCAGTGAAGACAGGGTTGGGTTCCCAGCATCCTTAGCCTGGTTTGTAACTCTAGGTTCAGAGCATCTGATGCTCTTTGACCTCTGAGGACATGGCACACGCACAGTGTATACATACACACACACACACACACACATACACACATACATATACACACACACGTTCAGGAAAACACTCATACATATTAAATAATTTTTAAAATTAAATTATGCCAAGTTTGCAGGGGATTTAAGGACAAAGAAGCAGCAGTGCGTGGAACACAAACTCAAGGGCATGGACCCATGGGCCGCTGACACAGCACAAAGTCTCACAACTCTGCCAGACAATACCCTGGGAGTCAGAACCCGTATTAAAAAGAAATAGTAAGTGATAGCAAAAAACGGACTAGAGAGCCAGGTGTTTAATCCCAACACTGAGGAAGGCAGAGGCAGGCAGATCTCTGTGTGTTTGAAGTCAGATTGGTCTACATAATGAGTTTCAGAATAGGCAGGGCTATGTAAAGAGACAAACAGAGATTAGAAAACTGTGACAGGTATAAATGAACACAGTGCTTAGTACTATTTCATCCTATGGGTCTGAGTGTTGCTGACTGGCATATTCAGTGCACCTGTGGTACCCGTAATGCCCATGCTAGCACCTCCCAGGAGAAGAGGAACCCCAAAACCCAAGCAGGGAGCCACAGCAAACACCAAGTGACACTGCATTTAAGATAAGGCAGGCAGGAAACTTACCAAGCCACCTCGGGGGTGGAGGGGGAGGAGAAGCTGCATCATGAAGGCCACCCAGAGAAGTCTACCAGATCAGTCCCTCTCCCTGAGTAAAGGGATGCCATGCCGCTGAAGCATTGAAGGAGAGAAACCAAGACGACAGAGAAGTTGAAAATGAGAATGAAGTTAAGAGCATCGCCATATGAGGAGACACGAGTTTGAATACAGTGCAGAACCAAAGAGACAAAGGGCAAATGAAGAGGAAGGGGAGGTGCTTGCTAAATCCACAAACACGTCTCTTTATCATCACTCACTCAGTGCCAAAGTCTCCCTGGTACCACAAAGTTGGACTTCAACAATTGGGGATCTCCTCCAAGTTATCTGCTGCTCTCAGAACATGGCCATCTTTATGTATCATTAATGCTAGTCCCTAGCCACCTTGGAAGCCACCACCTGTAAACAAAGCTATTCTCCATTTCCCCAAATGATAAACTCTCAGGCAATTTAAAGTGCTTCCCATCAAGTCTGATGATTTGAGGTCAATACCTGGGACTCACATGGCAGAGAAAAAGAGAACTTAACCTTTGACGTCCACATCCCTGCCCCCAACACACACACTTTTTTATTTATTAAGAAATTTCAAGGCTGGGCATTGGTGGTGTATACCCGTCATCCCAGCACTTAGGAGGCAGAGGCAAAAGGATCAGGACTTTTTTTCCCTTGGTTTTTCAAGAGAGGGTTTTTCTGTGTAGCTTTGGAGCCTGACCTGGAACTCTTTCTGCAGACCAGGCTGGCCTTGAACTCACAGAGATCCACCTGCCTCTGCCTCCTAAGTGCTGGGATTAAAGTTGTGTGCCACCACCCAGTTTAAAGATCAGGACTTTAAGGCCAACCTCAGCTACATAAAGAGTTTGGGAGTGGCTGGCACTATATGAGGTTCTGTCTTCACAAGTTTAATAACCATAATAATCACTATTACTTAAAATTATTAAAGTATCAACAAATTTCAAAACAGTGCTTTAGTTTCAAAAGTGAACCCAATTTGACATTCAAAGTAATTATCAATTATATTATTATAAAGTGCTTAAAGGCAAAAATGAATTGATATGCCAAGATAAAAGGTTCTTAGATCCACTCAGGCCATATCTAAATTCACCCTTGGAACAGAAGGCGTGACTTTGTGTGGCATTTTCTACGTTAACAACTAGTTCGTTTGGGGCCTGGTACACTTACAATAACTGAAAGGGCAAACACATACTGGTTCCTTTGTCAGATACTATTCTAGCACTTATAAATATACATGCAATTAATATACACACAACTAATTTCACTTGCCTGTTTGGTGATTTTTTGTGTTGTTACAAAAGCCCAGATTGCTGACATTTTCCCCCTGCAAAATATGAGGACAGAATTGTTAGCAAGTGTTCACAAAGGTGCATCCACACATTTTCGATTGTTATATGGTATTTTCTAAACTCGGGAGAAACCTTCATCCATCATTTCAGGATAACTTTATTGTGTTTAATTTTTTTTTTTTTAAAAAAAAAAGGCCCATTTAAGAAACCATCTCTATGTTCACTAAGAATAAGGACTTGAGAAACAAGTATCTCATGGCTTCAAAGAAAAATAATTCGGTTTAGCTAAGGTTCACCTCACACTGGATTTTTCTGTTTGATACAATCACATTTAATATCGAGGTGGGGGCCGTGTGTGAGGTCAGAGGACACCTTGCAGTAGTTGGTCCTCTCCTCCCACCAACCAAGTGTGTCTTGGGATTGAACTCAGGTCATCATGCTTGGAGGTGAGCACCTTCCCTGGCAGAACCGTTCTGCCAGTCCTTGATGTTCTCCACGCCACCCTCCCTGTGACCATCATTTGTAGGTAACCTTCTAACTTCTCACTCACCCTCTATGTTATGAAGCAAATACAGTTCTAAAGAGGTAAGATCAATCCACAGATGTAGTTTTAAGATTTACCTAGAGCCGGGCAGTGGTGGCGCACACCTTTAATCCCAGCACTCGGGAGGCAGAGGCAGGTGGATCTCTGGGAGTTCGAGGCCAGCCTGGTCTACAAGAGCTAGTTCCAGGACAAGCACCAAAGCTACAGAGAAACCCAGTCTCGAAAAACCAAACAACAACAAAAAAATTTACCTAGAGATTCAACACAATATAACGGGGAAAGTGTTTGTCAAAAATGGGTGTTACTGTTTAGGCAAGGCTCAAGTGACATTTACCCTGGGGAGTCTGTGACTAGCCAGGAAGCAGAGAGGCTGTCTCCAGGATTTCTCACAAGTCTCAGACCTTCATTTTGGTGGGATACTAAAGTAAACCTCATGTTAGGGAAGCTCCGAACAGACTAATGCGGTCATAATACCCAGCACTCATTTGTAATGAAAAACAGAACTGCCAAAAAAAGCAGCTGCACTTAGTTTGATCCACAGTTCCTGTCCTGCCAGCACTCACCATCTCCTGCGGGCCCACAAATCCTAGACACCAGCATCCGCTGGCAGTTTGGAGATGAGGACCTATCCATGGAATGGACTGTCTGGTGAGCCTGCTGGAGCCACCATCAATTAGAGTTCTTCTAAGCCAGTCCAGCCCAGGCCATCCTGCCACTGCCCTTGCCCTGAACAAACAAGAACGCACCTCTAACTCTATGCCCTCCCAGACTCTTACCCAAGATGTGTCTCGAGGAAAAGCCATAAACCATGAATCAGAGGGGGTTCAACACCACTCACTCTTTCCCTGATGTTCTGATGAGGACCACAGCTGACATGGTCCTCTGGTCCTGCTCCCCTTGACATTCTGATCTTTAACCTTCTCTCTCACTAACCCACCAGGTCCCTGAGGTGGAGCCACTCATTTGATTGGCACAGCTTACTATAGGGGCTCAGTGGATCTGTTCTTGAAGAAACAATGGCGTATGATGTGGGACTCCCCTCTGTAAGCTGTGAATACGTTTTATTGCCATTAGTCAATAAAGAAGCTGCATTTGGCCAATGGCTTAATAGAATAGAGCTGGGCAGGAAACTAAACTGAATGCTGGGAGAAAGTAGGCGGGGTCAGGGAGAAGCCATGTATCTGCTGCCAGAGACAGACATGCCAGAACCTTGCCAGTAAGCCAAGCCATGTGGCGATACACAGATTAATAGAAATGGGCCAATTTAAGATGTAAAAGTTAGCCAGAAATACGCTTAAGCTACTGGCCAAACAGTATTGCAATTAAGACAGATTTCTGAGTCTGAATGGCCAGATACAAGCAAGCAGATTCCTCCAACAGGCATAAAACTATTAGAACCCAATGAACCATCAACAAACAGGGAAGGCTCTGCTGGGCAGACCTCATGGCTTCACTGACCAAGTGCCGACCTCCCTGTGGTGTCCCTTCCTCCAAGAGAACCAGGAACCAGGCAGGCTCTGTCTATATCCATGGCTCATTTTTTGTTGTTATTGTTGCTGTTTCCTATGCTTCTGTGGCCAAAATAAACCTGAACTTATTAAAAAGAAAGAGCACAAAGTTCAAGACAACTAAGGAGCAATTCTGCAGCAAGGCCTCTGGCAGAGGTTACTAAGAAACACCATCAACAAAAAGGAAAACATACATTTGGCCGAGGAAGTCCTCAGCTGGTACAACGCTGGGAAACACACGCAAAAGGCTGCATCTGCTGCAGTGTCACCACAGCTGAGGCGGAGAGCAGTGTGGACAAGGCCTTGCTGCTGCCTTCCTCCCATCCCTGGGGTACACAAGACCAGGGCATTGGACCACTGTGTTCTCCTCCCACTGGCCTCACAAGTCAACAACTGTCATCTCCTAACTGGATGCCTGGGTTTTGAATGGTTCACAGCTGTGTGAATTTGAAAAGTTGTTCCCCTCACATTCACATTTCAGGTCCCTTTTGTGAGGGGATTAAGAAAAAAATCTCTCCACCCTCCCCAATACCTGGTTCTAAATCTTCATCTAGACATGCTTAGAGAGTCATTGGCACTCATTCTCTGAATAGTGTGCATGCAAATAGGCCAGGCACAGGTCTAGAGACTTTTATTCCAGAGCACAAAAAGAGGTCTTCTGGGAAGGCTCTAATAGATCAGGCTGCTGTGTGGCCTACAACATGAGGGCAGGGGCAGAGCGGAGAGAGCAGCTCCAGGGATCCTGGGATAGTGGAAGAGAAGCAAGCCAGGGCTACGGACAGACGTGAATGGGCATCTAAAAGATGGCTTCTTCCTGGAATACAGATGAGATGCCCTGGATTGGTCACAGTGATCTGGATGTCTCCACTGTTATGGTTTACACCTGCGCCCAAAGATCCAGGCATTCAAGGCTCGGTATCCAGCCTAGCATTCCTGGGGGTGGTGGGATCTTACATCACGGGTCTCTCTGTGCCCATTTTGCTCCACCCACAGCCCCCTCCACAGGCCTAATGCAACGGGACAACTGTCATAACTTAAACATCCAAAATTGTAGAACAGCATAAACCTATTCTGTTTATAAATTTAGAATCTTGGGCATTTTATTTTAGTGACAGACATATAGATATGTAGTTAACTAACATAATTTACTAGGTAGGTTTCTGTTTAAATTACTGTCTTTATGACAGAAAACTGAGTTTTAATCTAGAACAGAAGCAATCCATGATTATCAGACAGTGGAAAAGATCAAACAATAAAGTTATTTAAAAACAAAAAAAAACAGAGCTGGAGAGATGGCTCAGTGGTTAAGAGCATTGCCTGCTCTTCCAAAGGTCCTGAGTTCAATTCCCAGCAACCACATGGTGGCTCACAACCATCTGTAATGACGTCTGGTGCCCTCTTCTGGCCTGCAGACATACACACAGACAGAATATTGTATACATAATAAATAAATAAATATTTTGCAGGGCGGTGGTGGCGCACGCCTTTAATCCCAACACTCGAGGGGCAGAGGCAGGCAGATCTCTGGGAGTTTGAGGCCAGCCTGGTCTACAAGAGCTAGTTCCAGGTCAGGCACCAAAGCTACAGAGAAACCCAGTCTCGAAACCCCCCCCCAAAAAAAGAAAAAAAACAAAAACAAAAACAAACAAACAAAAAAAACATGGAGTATACATGTATTTCTACACTGGCCACCACCGTGTACAAGTATTTTTCATTTACCCTAGCTAAGGAGAAAGGCCCTTATATTTATGTGGTCACACCAGGCGATGAGTGTTTAAAACATGGTTCTTCACATGAAGATCTACTGATCCACAGCCAAACAAACACCAAACAGAAGCACCATTACAAGCCAGATTCAAGTGTGTGGCTGCGCCAGTGGGAGGTCAGCCCCACAGCAACACCTAGCACAACACAAAGGAGGTGTCATGCTTCTATATACAGACTTTGGCTCTGATAACTATGATAAGGTGATGGACAGTACAATGGAATGATGAAATTATTTAAAAATTAAATATCCTTTTTATTCTCTGATCTGTGGATAAATGGGGGTGGGAAGAAGTCACAGTGTAGTGTCCTAAAACCTATCAGGCTGCTTTGAGTTCCTTAGCCGTAGAGATGCCGTCTGTCAGGAGTACAATCCCTGCCCTCCATTTCCACAACACTTCACTCCAATGCCGTCAGCGGGCCTAGTCTTAGCTACAGACAAAAGTAACACGTTCAGTATTTAGGTCTCAGAATGGACACATGCTATGCTGTGTTCACTCAGCTTCTCTCAAACTGTGTCAAGACAGGCAAATCCCTACGGGTGATCGTGAGGCTGCCATACTGCCCTATGGCAGAATTCTTTTAGTGTCAATGTGTATACAGCTGGGGCCAGTGAGTGCACACTCTGATCCAGGAGGCTCACATGCAAACGACATACTGGCACATTCAATATTTCATCTCGGAACAACTGCAGCTTATATCCTGGCCGTCTTCGACAGGTCACAGCATCTACTTCCTTTTCAGTTTGCTTCGAAGGATGACAGTGCACTGGCAAGATCATCAGGTAAAGGTGCTTGCTGCTGAGACTGAACTTGACTTCAAGTCCCGAGAGCTGCATGGTGGAAGAAGAGAACCAACTCCTGAAAGTTGTCCTCTGGCTTATACACACACCCCAAAAATTTTCTTTCAAAAGCATAAGTAACATCAAAAAAATCACTTCTATAGTTTCTGAGACTATAGCAGCATGTACAGGAAAAATTTTCTCTAATAGAGTCTCATTGGGTTTATTAATCACACCTCAAGGTAGACCGTATGCCCAGCAGAAGACAGTTCACACAAAATGAACTCAATGGTATTTTTTGTTTCAAACTGCTTTCTTGGAACTTTTCTTTTCTTTCTTTCTTTCTTTCTTTCTTTCTTTCTTTCTTTCTTCTTTCTTTTCTTTCTTTCTTTTTTTTTTTTTTTGTCTTCTTGCTCTTTTGCTTGTATATTTTATTTG